AGTTTCTCAGAGCAAAGCAGCCCGGACCCAGGGGAGGAATAGCTAACACCAGGAGGGTGCTACCCCAGCACTGCTAATTTCAGTACACGTGTCAGGGATATCATGGGCTTTTCCACTGATGTTTTAGGTATTAAGAGTGATACACTCTGTAATTGTGTGTTGTTTTCGCAATCGGACACGAAGTTCCTATTCACAGCCTGGGATCACAAAGCCCCCTTTTCTCTGGGATTAGACGAGCTTCGGGGTTTGTGTGATGAGGCCACAAGATTGTTGAGAGAGAAAACTCCCTGAAATCTCCTCTCATCTGCTGAGGGAGGAGAGCTTGTTGAAATAATATCAGTTCAACGGGGGGATTCTGCAGCACATACTTATGTCCAAACCCTCTAAACCTTTAACAGAAATGTTTACATCTTCAGCTAATGAGCTTCATCCTGAGTTTGTTTGACATTAAAGTTCAAACATCTTCACCATCGTACTGTACTGTGTAGTATGACGGTGATAATCAGTGGCACTAAATCAATATATAATGTCATAGCAAATTGAGGGTGATCCTGCATGAAACTGTGAAAATACAAACAACATCAGTATCAGATTCCCGTAAACACTTCACCTCAACAATGACGTCTGATGACACATGTGATTTTCTTGGTCTGGTTATTGTTCAACCCATCAAAAGGTGGGTGTGAGCCAGTCTTGGGAATTGAACTTACTATTTCTAATTACAAACCAATCTCTATGTCAGCTTGATTTCTTATTACTTCTTCTCTATATGAGTTATATTTGTTTGAAGAAATATCAATGCAAGAGGTCCCAGATGGACTCATTGTCAAGAGTTATATTATTTGTATAGCCCCATTAACACATTTCTGAAAATGTCAGGACATTATCATTACCCAGAGGAGCTGCTCTGTGAGAAGACAAATGTCCAAATCTATTGAGCCGGACATTAAACAAGTCTGCCTGTCCCCTTGAACAAACAGTACTGAATGTTCAAATGAGTGTATGTGTGAATGCAGTGTGCAGTTGTTCAGATCATTTACTGTGAAGTAGTTCATCTTCAAATACTATATAAACCTCAAAATAAGTCAGAAGATGAGCTTGAAACAAGACTGTTCAGTTAGCTGCTGTTGTAAAGTTAACTGTCAAGATTCTCTTTTTTATTCTGCTTGCATTAACAACTAAAGATTACAATAATCAAATGAATTATGCTTATGTTAACTGCTGCTTTTGCCAAAGACAAAGGCTGTTTGATTCTGTAAAGTTTGGTTCTGTAAATATACCTGGTAAAGCTTTTGCCATGTTTATATATTTTTTAGAAATGTGCATAAAGATGCATCAGAGGGGCAGAAAACATGCAAATCACATTTAAAGCCTTAAAAAAACATGATATGTATTTTTATTTTTCAATATGTCCGATTCAAAGTCCAAATCCTGATGGTTTATAGTAGATAAGGTTATAAAACTGAAGAAAAAATTGCAGCAAGTCTTCATATTTGAGATTGAGACCATTACAAACTGTCCATTGAGAATGGAAATGAAAGAATGAGCTTGCTTTAGCCGTTCATGTAACTGTGCCCTTCCAACATCTCATACCCAATGTGGTCAATTTTAAAGGATAATCTTTTTTTGATTTCAGTCTTCTTTTGAGTGATTAAATAAATACACAGTGTCTACAAAAAAGAATGAAAGCACACATCGAATAATTTAAAAATTCATTTATTTCAGATTTTTTTCGCCTTTGTTATACAAAGATGTTAAATAACTTAAATACATTCTTACCAGTCATTTGTGATCTGTTTATACCTACAAGCTATACACATGAGGTAGAGGAAAATAATTTAGGGTTCCCATAAGACATGAATAAGTGAACATGTACAAAGCTTTGTGTTGTATCATCACAAATGGCAAAACATGGTTTGTGTGTTTTATCTTTGTTTTACAAGCACAGCACAAATCCTAACCAAAGGTACATGTAAAGTGATCCAAAGGTGAGTTTAAACTAGTCCACACCGATGCAATCATGAGTTCATAAGGCATCTTATGGTGAAACCAACATGATAAAGTCTTTTCACAAAATGCTTGATTATAAAAACAGATCAAATCCTATAAAAAATAAACTGTTGATGACTGTGATTGTGTTTGAATGCTTAAACAAGGGTCATGATTGTGCACAGGAATAAGAGACAGCTAAACATGAGTTGATTCTAAATTAGTTAAGATGTGTTAGTGCTTAGATACCAGCAAATGATGAGATATGAACTGAAATATGTTGAAAGTATACGTTGCTTCTCGAAGCCTCCACCCCAAAAGAGGAACAAATAACCAAAAGAAAAATGAGTAAAAAATACAGGATATAAAATCAATTTAGACTTTGACGTTATTTACACTAAACACATGCTCATAATATATTTAAAATAATTTATATTTTATTTCTATCTCTCTACAAAACAGAATTTTGTACATGATCCACTGGTGGCTAAACAGTGCAGAGTTTTGTATTGGAGAATATGAAAATCTGACTGGCTGCTGCCTCATGCTCCACTTGCAGGGGAGGAATTTTTAGGCCTATGTACTAAACAAACAAAAAAGTACTTGGTGTGATGTTGGTATTCCCGTCATGCCTGTTTTGAATCTGTTCAATACGGGAGAACCTCAGGAGTGTGTGTGTGTGTGTGTGTGTGTGTGTGTGTGTGTGTGTGTGTGTGTGTGTGTGTGTGTGTGTGTGTGTGTGTGTGTGTGTGTGTGTGTGTGTGTGTGTGTGTGTGTGTGTGTGTGTGTGTGTGTGTGTGTGAAGTTTGCACACACACAGAAAGTTGTGGGAAGCAGGCATTTATGCCTCAAATCTCAGCATGCTATTATGGTTTCCATGTAGCGTGCAAAGTTCTATGTATATGTTTTGACCAGTCTTTATTTGGCATGCCATCTCATATCAAAATGCTTGGAATTCATCTCCTCGGGACAAATAACCCATGCAAGGCTCTCATCCAAAGGCATGATATGCCTGCCGAGGGCGGTGGTTTATTTCTGAATATTGTGATAATCATCTTTAAAGACTAACCCGCCTGTAAAGGTAAAAGCCACTTTTAAAGGATGTTTGGCATGGGGCCGTAAGGCAGATTACAATCTGTAACCACAGCTGTGTGCCGTCTCAACCTAACAATACTTATTGCTAACCCATTTCTGTTTCTTGTGAGAGTTGAACATGTGCCTCACTTTTGTCTCTATACCACAGGAGAAGAAACTATTCTTTACTATTTACAATTCTTCAAAAACAAAATACAAAAAGAAAGATTCTGCACTGCACTGTATCTATAAACACAGATCTTAAAATACTTTAAAGGGCTTTTGGGTTTCAGTGCGTTAAATGGTGCTATAATACAAAGCTGGGTCCCTCACTCAGTAGTTAATTCACACCCATCTAAAACAAGGCATATCTTCTAGGATATCACATAAAGTTCTCAGAAGCCAAGTGCTGTTAAAACTATAAAATATTACTGTCTGCATTGTTTGTGTAAAAAGGCATTTCTTAAACATCACAAATAATGGTTATATGTTAAAGCAATGGTTCTACATTTTGGGAAACATATAGGCCTAATTGGGTAGAGTAAAAGTATATATGAAGAGTTCATTCGTAAAAGCAGTTAACTCTGTTTTAAAAATTGTTTTTTTATTTATTGTTTATTTCAGGTTATATCATTCAGACTGAAGTTGTGTGGCTTTAACCGAGTTCCCCATAGACTGCATTGGGTATGTGCACCAGAAAAGGTTTTGGATCACATAACAGCTCTATTTAAAATGCTAATCAAAACTATCAGGGCACTGTTTTTCAGAATGGGTTTTATCTGTTTTTACAAATGAACTCTTCATATGTCTGGTGAAGATGTATCAGAGGTTTTAGCCTGCTAGTTAGCTTAGCTTACTTTGACATAAAGGAGGGAACAGGTGGATACAGGTGTCCAGGCTCTGTCCAACGTTGGCTTTGTTGGTGAGGGTTAGAGTATCAGTCCAGCTCATTTGCAACTATAGCCAACCAATAAGCATGGCTTTCAAAAAAACACAACCAAAAAATGTTTCTTTTTGGTAAGTTCAACTTTTACTTGATGTTGGTATTATAATAAACCTCTGTAAAAAAAAAAAAAAAAAAAGTGAGCGTTTCCCAAAATGTTGAACTATTCCTTTAAACTGTCATTGTATTGGCATGGGAAGGTTCACCATTCTGCATTGTGTTAAATGAGTCAATTTGTCCCAGGCAACAATACGCAGTCATGTGTTATAACAACTTTGCTGACTTCTGAATGAAGACAAATGATCTGCCAAAACCCCAATGTTTCAGTCATCAATTTGCCTAAACATTACACAAATATTAGTCCTATAAAATATATTTATATTAGCTATGAGACGTACGCATTCATCTTCACTTGAGTAACTCTGCAGACACGTCAAGTTAGAGTTCTGTCTCGGTTGCCCCGTACTGTTTATTCAGAGCGATGCAGCTCCTGCTGTACATGCTGCATGTCTGCATGTGTTGAATATGGCTCAATCAAATTGTGGCAGCTGAGGAGAGGAAAGATGGATGTGAACTAGTAGGGGGCTACATTCCTCCAGTTCTCCACAGTTTTTCTTTACATCTTCAAAGTATTTGAAGTAAAATAAAATAAAATAAAAAGTAGACTAAAGTTCTCCACAACTTCTGCTTTGAGTTACAGGTGGACCATTGGCTGGTCAAGTGATCACCTGCTGCTATAATCTTAGCTGTTATAACAAGGCAACTGTCATCTACAACTTGGTTATCATTTGTATTTGCACTCTTTAACTCCTTTACTGCCAAAAAAAGTTAATAGTGGTTTAAGTTATTCCCTGAACATTGGTTCGCTCAAGGCCGAGAATAGCCTAAACTGACTGGTTTCATTTAACCGTTAATGCATTCACTAACAGCTTCATATTATATTATATTATAACAAGAAAAGAAAAGTGTGATCTTTTTTTCTCCCTGTGAAGGAGTAGTCCCAAAGGATCTATAAATTATCCACAGCAAGTGACACAAGAGCGCTGCTTTCCAAAGGGCCTTGTCGACATGTATCAAGAAGAAAGATGAGCGAGAGCACACAAAACATATTTGTGTGATTAGTGGTTTGTTTTAACATAGTTAGATAAGTGGCTTGTATAATATCATTACAATATACCTGAATTTATTTACATATATATATGCAAACACACAACTTGTGTGAGTGTAAAAATGTGCGTGTAAAGTAAATCTTACACCCTGTCTTTGTTTTCTTTTTAGCAGTCTCTGAATATGGATTTCATTGCATAAAAGTCGTCAGTCAACCCCCGTTCCCCCTCACTCTATTGTGCTCACATACAAACACACATGTAGAAATAGACGAACACACACACAAACCATTCTTCTTTTGGGCAAGGCCCCAGAAACCAGTCTGTTGGTGTGACTGGTTTTGTCTTTGATCTCCATCAACTTGACGCTGATCGCATTTTTTTTGTGTGATGCAACTTGATTTTTTTCATTAGGGAAGTAAAAGCTTCTCTGTTCAAGGCACAACTGTGATTTTTTTTTTTTTTTAAAGAAGAAGCTTGAGATGTCGACCCAGTTGTCTGAGATTTTGTTTTAACTGCACACCCCCAGACACGGGGGCCACAGGACGTCTGACACCCAGCTCACAAAAATCCCTCAAAGTGCTTATTGCTTCTCCATCAGCTTGCTCCTCTTTTGTTTGCAGAAGGCTGTTCTGACAGCTGAAGCAGAACCGAGTTCGAGAACAAATCAACCACTCCTCTGAGCAACAGCCATATATGAATTGCTCCACTGATCAGGCAGGCTGACAGGTGACCGGTTTACCCTTTGCAGGTGTAGACCTCTTCCCTCTGTGTGCACTGCTTGCACTCGACATAGCAGCACCAGCGCACCTGGCACTGGCAGGGCCGTGTCACCTCCCTACTTTGCGTGTTATGGCCTCGTCCGCAGCAGATAGCGTCGCAGTTCTTGTCTTTGTAACACTTGCGGGCTGCTGTGCCTGACGAGTACTTGCTGGGTCTACAGAAACTGGGTGAGTCCTCGATGTGGAGAAGGTCCATAGTGCGAGGGATCTGATCGTTCAGGCCAGGCGGAGGCTGTTGTGGAGGCTGCTGCTGCTGGCCGCGTCCAGTGGAGATCTCTCCCTCCCCCGTGGCCTCATTGGTGGAGCTTCCGACCTTGATGGAGGTCTCATAGCGCTGCTTCAGCTGCTTGCCGATCTCATGGAAGGGCTGGAGCTGCCTCCAGCAGGTCTGGACAGTGCAGGAACCAGAAACGCCATGGCACTTGCAGGTGGTTTCCACTCCAGCCTTTATTACCTGATTGAGAAACGAGGAAACACTGTTAACTGAAGCAAAATATTACAGGAATGTAATGATTGCTATGTGGCTTTGTTTGGTAAGCACTATTTCAAAGAGCCTAATTACCCTAACACACTTATTGTTAGATCAGTCAAGTTGAGTGCAGTGGTTTTGGGAGGAATGTAAAGTCAAATTATAACATTTGATGCTCTTCTTGATTTCATAATGAACAGGAATCTTCACTTAGTATCAACACAGTTCTTGAGAACAACAATAGAACACTTTGTCTCGGTCTTTTGATGATTAGCTGATAGTTTGTGGGATGAAGGTTTTGTTATGACATTTTGATTAAGCTCAATAACTGTCCTTAAAATAAGTGAGGTGTGTTTTAAGTATTCTGAAAAACACTGTCAGCTCAGACAGCCATAGAAAAAAAAGACTTAAATATGTAGACACTGAGCACTATCCTCTATTCTCATCAACCACAAAGTGAAAGGAGTGTGTGCGAATATCAATGACAATAACACATTGTCTACAGACAGGGTTTGGATAGTGTGTACAGCTATTTTCTCAGACTGTGAAAGAGATCGGTGAGATGGGGGGGGGGGCAGGAAGTGCATATTCATCACACCAGCAGGTCAAGAAAATTTGATAGGTCAGCTTTAAAATGTCGGGGGGCTGCAGAGGCTAGCACATTCCAGTTTTTTTTCGCAGTGTGGGAATCAAATGTGAGCAAATGCGGTACACCTCGCTACATGCATGATTCATGAATTGAGCAAAAACAATGTTGTAAATCTTTTATCACAAACACAATCTCCTGAGAGACTTAATTTCGGAGAGCCAAGCTGAAGAGGGAGAGCCTGAGTTGCTCTTTTGGGAGAGTTCTGTGTCTGTGAACATTTGGGAAGCGTGCCTCTGCTATAACTCATTTTGAACCCAAAATGGGAAAAGCTGCAACTTGAGAAAAGCTTAGTAAATGCTGCAGATTTCAGACCTTAAGTTTGCTTTGGCTTAATAGATAAAGACCATTCACTTCTTTTCTTTTTTTATTTCACCATTAAACTTACTCCAAAGGAAAAGAAAAACATTTTCACTCACTACTTACAATTGCTAAATGATGCCAAAGCAAACATCAGAGAAGTGGACCAGCTTATCCGAGGCAGAAAACCTTGAATTGACTCATGAGCACCTTAAGCTCTTATACCAAAATTACACATTTTCAATGTCAATAAAACTTGCATCCACACAGGTGAATGTTTTGGAACTCATCCACTTTGATTTTACAAGGATAAGAATTATCCACAATGAGGGGCCAGAAGGCTTGAGGCCGTCATCAGCCCCAGGTCTTTCTCTGTTACTAGGTTGACCAAAACCTAGTTTGAGTCGGCATTTCCCACATTCTCAGCATTGCCACGGCCATCGATGGGCTATAAAAGTTGGCTTCGGCTTCAGTGTGACGTCAGTCCATGTAGTCTATGATTATCACTTTATAAAGTCATGATTGCAGATGTGCTACCAAACACCTGCTTATTCAGATATCTAACAGAGCTTTAGCAACTAAAAAGCAAAAAGTCTCACTTCACCGTCAGTGCAAATGTTAGTTTCATGTAAGAAATGAAAGCTAGGTTATCTCGTTGTAAGAAAGTTACAGAGTTAACCATTGCTATGGACGCTTTTCTAACTCTGGATTCCAACAGACAATTTTTTAGCTTGAGAAACAAATCCTTTTGAAATCATCAAACTAGTGTCACAGTATTGATTTCTCTGGTTAGTAGCGCTGTAACAAAGGGGGTAATGTATATTGAGCGGTGTTGTTACCTTCATGCCCACATTTGTGTTGTGCATGTCGACGCGTGCCCGCAGGTCCTTGTTGGAGCGTTTGCCCAGGAAGTCCTTAACAAACTTGTTGGCGTATTTGAGGTTATCTCCACAGCCCCCCCACTGCCACGCCTTTCGATTCTCCAGGTCGGGGGCCTCGTCACACGTGCAGCGTTCCATGCGTCCTGCGCTGCACGCTTTCGCTAACGCATGAGTCAGGCCCGCTGAGGAGATGGCATACAAGAAGGCTGTCTCTTTAAATCCTGAAAACACACAATGGAGAACGAAACAACAGGTTTAAAAATGTGCTCATCTTCTATTTGAAGCACAGTGAAGACAATACACACACTGTATATTTCAGTTGTCCTCATCATTGAGTTATATACACTGTAGCAGTGTTAACAGGTCTGCACAAACAAATATTCTGACATAATGTATAGGACGCAAAAGTTAAACCCAATTGAACTATTATAGGAGATGGGCTAAAAAGCACTATGATAGAGGTCAGTGTGTCTGGTTAGAGAGCAGAGCAATGCTGTTGTGGTAAAGTAATAATGTAAACACTTCAAGATATGATTTTGTCTCCATTCCTTATTTCTCTTATTGCTTGTGACATTTAGGCATACGTCCTGATTGACATTCACTCTGCACAACACAATCTTGTTTAAATTTTGTTTTTGTCACAAAGCCGTCACTTCCCAAAACTCTGATAGGTTGTAAACATCTATTGATCCAGGGCTCAGGGGAACTATGCACTTGGATCTTTGATCTAAGATCAGTCCCCATGGCAGATTGTTGAATCTTTACACCCCTACTTTTTGTGTTTGTGCTGAGTCATTTTCAATATTGAAAGTCTGAGAAAACAATCAAGAAAATAAAATCATGGACCAAAGCCACAACACAGCTGAAAACACAGAGAAGTGATACATACAGCATACCACCAATATAAGGAATCATTTATTTAAGTTCTTGATTTAAACCCTCCCCAAGAATTGTGTTGTTTTTTGTGGCGATATTAGCCACAAATATACGTGTGACAGGGTTGGGACATGCTGTATTTTCTGAGGTACTTTATCAGTAAAATGGTGAATTTAAAAGACATTTAAAAGAGAAAAAGACGAGTGGAAATCTGGAGAAAAAAAACGTTTGAGAAACATCACACTATAGTGAACACCAGATCTGTTTTCAGGCCACTAAAAGAAGAAGACAACAATTACCTCTCTTTAGTATGTTGGCTCGGTGGCGCCCCTCTAGGGTGCAATTCCACCTCTCAAAGCGGAATTGATACTGGCATTCTAAGGCGCTCATGGTGATAGCCTCTCTCAGGGTCTCAGCCACGCCCGGGTCTCGTCTGCACATTCTGCGTTGCTTCTTTTCCAGTTTTAACCGGTCGCACAGCTTGTAGTGGGCCCTGCCCACGTTCTCCTCTGGTAGAGAGTTCAGAGGCAGGATAGACAACGGCTCATTACCTGTCAACCTGCAGGGAGAGATCACAGACACACTCAGGTTAGTTTATGCTCAGAGAGGTAGTGGCTACGGCTTGATAAAAGGTTCCAATAAAGCTCAGGATGCAGACCTTGAATAAACAGTGCTAGCTGCAAAGATATACTACATAAACAGCACAGGAAGCCCAGGTGGAGCATTTAATGCTCACAAGTTTGGTTAATGTTCAAATGGATTCAGCTGCTCAGTGGTTAATGTTCAGGGGAATTCAACATTTGCTGAAGATCGAGATCAACCTCCCGCACTGGCGCGTCTGTGCTGTGTGTAGAGCAAATCTCTGCAGAGGGGAAGAGGTCTTTGTTTCCACAAGAAGATCCTATCACTGTTTTGTCCCTGAGTAAAACCTAACATGATATTCAAGTCAAAGCTAAGGCATCCTATAGTATTCAGAATTTGAAGACATTTTAGATTAATAATATGTCATAAAGCATTCAGTTGGTTGACATATTTTAAAAAACAGAAACCTGACAGTCATACCACATGCTTATGAAATAAATAGGTAGTGGATACTTGGTTGAATATTTATATCTTAGACTGAAGAAAGGGATGTCATTCACAGCAGATGTGTATAGAGTAAACATGATCACACACCAGGATTTACACACTCATTATAGAATCCCCAAAAGTCAAGTATTCAGGACATAAAAGCTGCAGTCCATCCGAGAAGAAGCAGAAGAATCAGGTCTAAACATGGTATGCAGAACATGTGGTAGACTGGCTCTCCTCTCTTCAGTTTATTTAAGGGAAGCATATATAAAACACACAGAGCGACGACTGCCACATAGCTGGTGAAACCAACGACCAGCGTTCTGAGGTTGTGACGGGGAAAGCAGAGCATTATTTTCATAAACACACACAGGGGACATGACTTTCAGACTGTGACCATTTTGGTCACACCAACTGACAGGATTGGCACCGTAGTTGTTCATTATGTGGAATTTTCTGGCCTCCCTGACACCCTTAAAGTGAAACTGAAGAATGAACGGATTTACAGAAGTCACAAAAGCACGGGTCCTCAGGCGAATGTGCCTTTCAGACAGACTTCTGTGCATGTGATGACTCCTTGTCAAATGTTAGATTGATAACGTGCTGAACTCCAACTTTCACCAAAACATCAGTTGAAAAGATGGATTACAAATTGTCAATTTTGTGTGAATGTCTCAAACTATAAAGTTACTCTTGGACTCATTAATACTGTTTAAAAGTAAGCAAGTTGGTTTCATTGAATTTAATAGAAGTTTTGACATTTTATTGTCCAAAATAAGGGATTGTTCATGATATCGAATTGTTGTCCTCTATTCTAACTTTCTTTGTAAATGTTTATAACCAATCTACTTTTTAACATTTTTGAAGATGAAAAAATTGTGTTTTAAAAAATCCCTCCATCTGCTTGGAAAAAGTGTACAGAAAGCCATATAAATAAAAATCAAATCCAACAATAATACTTGGAGAATAATCAAATCAAACTGGAAACCTAACAAATTGTTATAAAAAGAAAAAAGTGTGAAATGATTTCACTATTTATTTTCATTTTTAAGATGTATTTTCAATGCTTTTTGTGCCTTTATTTGAGAGACAGGACACTTGATACAGTTGGAAATCAGGGAGAGAGAGTGAGTAGGGAATGACATGCGGCAAAGTTGCCACAGGTCAGATTTGAACCCGGGCTGCCCGCTTCAAGGACTACAGCCTCTGTACATGGGGCACACAGCCAACCACTCCTCCACTGGTGTGCCGATTTCACAATATTTTTGTTTCAAATATCTTGCTCAGTGTCCACATTGGTTTATTAACTAACCAGATGTGTTGGTTGGTGATCTCTTTACTTACATTTTTACCTTCATTACTGATTTCCAGAGAAGTTTTTGTTGCCACACATTTTACATCAGACTCTATCAGAAGGTCAAAGCAGTTCCTCCACAACACATTTTTTTTTAAGTCTAGCAACTGATTGAAATGATTTTCCTCGAGACCTTACTTTCATACCAGTGGACGTAATAGTGTGCATTTGCTTCATGATATTGTCTTTAAGGTGCATACACAGCCTGAGCAGTAGAATAAAATAAGGAGGCATCAGGATTTGTTTACAGATTGGGTCAAATGGTTTCTGTTACAAAGCTTGTGTGCCTTTCCTTAACTTGTCTGACAGCTATGAATTTGGAAATGGAAACCTGGCAAGCTGTGTCTTGACAGAGATCGCTCTCTGAACACACTTAAGAACAAAAATGCATGGTTTGAGGCAAACAGAGTAACGAAACAGTGCACCAGAAGTGTGTCTGTCTGTGAGATTTTTCTCTGATTCTTGTCATGTTTCATTAAAATACAATCTGTTAACAAATGAGAACTACATTGCCCGTGCCAAAACAAAGTCATTCAGCTGACTCGTATGTGACATCTGACATCTGACTGACAATCGTTTCACAACATTTATATGGCAAGCAAGCAGTCAGATGTTGAATTATGGCGCCATGTGGAATACCTGCCTGAGTCCATTTGGATGGGGATATATTTCAAATTTTATCTTTCAGTCTTGCACTCTATCTCACTTTCACAACCCATCCAGTCACGGCACATCGCTTTTCACAAATCAGTCTGGTTCTGCTCGAGGTTTCTGCCTGTCAAGATTAAGTTTTACTTTGACACGGTTGCTATGTGCTTGCTTAATTGTGAGTAAATGTTTGGTCTCCATGCATAATTTAACAAAGAGTACAGGAACGGCTCTCTACGTAAAATGTCAATAGCAAAAAATGTGCTTTACATTTAGCACCATTAAAAAAAAAAAGATTGACTTAATAGACTGAATTAACACATCACCAGGAAGCATTCTACAATTACAACTAAAAACAGTAGTAGTCTAAATGTGTGCTACACATAGCTTTGCAAAGAGATCATTTTAAGAAATGGTCATTTGAATCTACTCTATACCAGCAACTTGACGTGCACATTCCTCCCGCAGACATGCACAGTAACACGTATCAGCGCCAAACCCCCAGAAGCCCCCATTCCTGCCAGAGCATCAGAGTGACAGGCCTCAACTGTGTGTGTGACGTCTGCCTGACTGAGACACAAAGAGGGTCTGAGCGGTGCTGGAGGGAGGCCAAAGATGACATGACACTGATCTCAGCATTACTGTCTAGGTGGCTTTTCTTTTTTTTACGCAAAGGCATTTTTCTAGCAGTTCAGAGACAGACAGCCGCAGGTCAGAGTGAGGAAGGGTGGGATGGGATTCAAGCGGAGAAACACTTCACGTGAAGAAACTTCTGGCTTGTGCTCACTCCAGTGCATGTTTCTGCTCTGATTCCATTGCTTCTGTCTATTAATTATCTATAAATTAACAGATAGCCTCTTTTTTAACATGTGTGTACAAGATAGCAAAATCCGCATCAATCATTCTCTACAATTTAAAATTCGCTGAAAACTTGAGATATTTCATCTGGATGTAGGTCGATGACCTCGGCTGTCACTCCAGAAGCTCACACATTCCAATATTATGATCCTCAAAAAAAAAAATCAAAATATCACACTGCTGTCTGCTGAAAAATGAACTCATTCAACTCACCAAGAGAGAAGGAGAATTAGAAAAACAGAAGAGCGGCTGGATCAGGAAAATCATTACAAATCTGAACTTGGAATCCTCAGACCAACGGACCGTATTGTTGAATGTATCCCCAAAACTATGATCACGTCTGAGAGTAATAGAACACAGTCATATGTCATCTTAGATAATTGAATAAATCTACTAACCAAAACTGGGGACAACTTTGTAGTAATGACACTTTATAAAAAGTGAATTTAACAAAAGAGTTCAAGATCAGTTATAGATCAGTTATCATCACATTGATTAATGTTGCCTGTGTGAGAAACACTCTTTAAAAGGTGTTTTAGTTTGGGCCGTTTTGACTATATGAGATAGAGGAAAGAGATATACTTTAAAGACAGAGTAGTTATGACAAGCACTAAATTGCGGAGGTAAGAGTCGATTTGGGCGTTAGCAGCTTTGATTTGATATCTGTACATGGAGCGTTCTACCAATTTGGCAAAATGGGAGCTCTATGATAACCTATGATTTTATCATGTTATTGCCCTTTCTTTTTATTATTATTACACAAACAAGACTTTTAAAGTGTGATACAAAATACTGATTCATCATATTTTACATGCTATTACTACACTGTACCTCTCCCCTGCTTATGCTTGCTACTCTTCGCTAGATCTGCACTTGTTGTTTTTTGCTACCATTAAGTGTCATTTATCTGAAGGCAGTTGTGTGTTTCTTTTAAGTGAAGTTGCTAGTGGCGGTCATAAATATATTTGCCGTTTAGGCTACTGTTTTGGAAAAAAGAAACAAGTTGATTTTTTCATGGAGCTAAGTTTACATGCTTTGGGATCTCTCTATTGACTGCTGTATTTGTGACTCCTGAACATCGCATTTTATCTCTATGCAGAGAATTTCTGTACTGATATTGGTATCAGAGCAACTTTTATAATTTTCCCCTGGACTCTCATTGGTACCCAGAATAATCTTCTTTTGTATAAATGTGTATCAATCAGCCAATGAATCAGTCTTTCCTTTAAAGTACTATTCGTCAACATAGCAACACAACATCAGTTTTTTCTAACATCTGGTCTGTAAGTAATTTATGTATTAACCATTTATAAATCCATAAGTTAACTTTTTATAAAGCTTGCCTTTCTAGGAGCCAACAAAAGAGCAGAATTTCAGTTGCTTTACAGAATCTCCACAAATACCAGAACAAACTAAGAAACATGTAACTCCATGTTTTCACATCATGGACCATTTTGTGTAGGTGTTTTTGTTTGAGGTGTTGTTGGAGGTGTTGGCACAGCAACACCAATTACATGTGGAATATAACACCAACACACGGTATAAAACTCATTATTATCCTATGCGAGGTGGGATTCTCGCTGATGTTTGCTCAGCTTTGCTTTTTTTCCATTCACACACACTCGCCTTTACACACTCCTTGTAGACATCTCTGACCCACTCTCCTCCGCCGTCTTTCACTTGGTTACACTGCAGTTTGTTTAGTCCTTTCTCTCCACCTGTCAGCACCTCCCATTGGCCGTGACATTTACTTTATATACATTCTCCAACGCGCAGGGTTCAGTGAAAACGGTTCATTCCACACCACCGAGCCTCACGGAGGATCCCTGGAGGAAATCATTGACCAGCACTAAACTTCGCCTTCATCACCCCTCATTTGGCTTTACATTACAGTCCTTGATGTGACCCTCAGCTGGTAACGCTGCTCTTTCTTCACAGGTTTGGTATGTAAATAATTAGGAGAGTGTGATATTACCTAAACTCTTAGATAGTGGAAAACATGGTGCCTGAGTTACTTTCTCTGCCTTATTGAAATGCCTGCTTTATTTAAAGGGGGACAAACACACAGAGCTCTGAAACTGCTGCAGTTATTCATATACTCACATAGCATTTATAAACAATGGCAGCTCAGCACAT